ACTGCTGAATCCGTGTACAGTTGGAAGAGTGACAGGAAAGATGGAAACATAAGTTCATGTCACGTTCGATAAATAGTGCGAGACGTTATTTTGTCTGACCGTAAAGCTCTGTTTGAAATTCAGTTGTGGAATGTAACAACGGTAACAATAGTTCAAATATAGTTTGTGCAATTAAGAACAATTTTGAAATATGTGTACTTTTCTCGGCATGTCCATTTTATGCTACTTTGTACTTAATGTCACCAAAATATTGCACTTTTTATTCCACATTTACTGGCCGACTATAGCTGCACTTACTCTGCAGAACCTCTTCACACGACTTACGACAAGCTTGTAATATGTTTCATTACTATGGATTAAACTACCCAACAGCATAGATCAAATTAGCTCCACTTTAACCAGCATAGAGTAACGTGCTAATGATACACTATTTCATGATGTAACAATGCATACATGAGGTGTACTTAGATTATTTTAGTGTGTTTGCGTCTGTACTTTGAAAGCATTGTGTAATGGAGTATTCACACATTTTGGAATTGCTACTTTTGTTCATCACTGCAGACCGTTTTCTACTTTCCATTTTCTTCAATGTAGTTAGCCAACTACCCAACTGGCACTAGTCATGTCTCCAGAAGGTTGGTGAATACTGTCCCTTCATCCAGTGATTATATTTCTGTTTTAGGAATTTATTTTAATATTTGCATCCTTGCTGTGTCTTAGCCCCATATAAATGAATTTAAATCCAACCTTCTGTTGATACACAGTGTGTGGCCCTTAACTTTAACTTCTGTTCTATCCCCCCTCCCCCCCTTTCGAGTATGTATCTCTCCCTCTGCCTTAATCGCTTACTCCCTCTAATCCCACCAAACGACAGCCAGTCATATAAATCAACATGTTTACAATGAAATGTTTCCAATTAAAGAGGACGCTCGTTAAGAGGCATCAACGGACACCGCTGGATCCTTAATTGCCTGGGATGCCAGTGTGTGATGCATATTAATTACGTATTAACCTCACACACACACACAAATGCATGAAGGCACATTAGTGTGTAGTGCATATTAATTACCTATTACCCTTTTGTGCTGTGCATTAAAAGCTGCGTGGCATCAGAAAGACAGCTTGCCCAAGGGCACACACACACACACACACACACGCACACTAATACCACCAACAATGTCTATTCGCATTGGCATTCTCAATGAGGAATGAGCCATTTCAGTCAGCCGCCCATGACCACCATAACTAATCTCACCGCAGCAAGTGTGTGCATGTCAGTGTTTGCTCGCATACAAAGATGCATGAGTGAGTGGGTGTGTCCCTTTAAGACAATTTAACAAGTAAAGCACCTCATCCAGAGATCTAAGCCTTTCCTTGCATCTGGAGACGTTTAATTTCTAGGAAATCTAACAGGATGAATAATAAAGAGATGATTAAGTGAAGAAAATAGATAACTTCAAAGTAAAAACAAAAAATATATATATTTAGCGAATAAAACTGTAGGTTTGAGAGTTGAAATGTATGGTACTGCTCATTTAAAAAACTCTGTAATCTGTACTTCATTTGCAATTTTACTAAAAACATACAAATATGGAACTAAATCAAGAGGTCACAGTTGGCCATATGCCCTCCATATCTATATATTTTTCGGGTAATAGGTCACATTTCATTAATCTTTAAACAAGACTCAAGAGTCTACACAGCAATGCTAACGTCTCCATCACCATCCCTCCGTAGCTCAATGTTTACAGCAGTCCTTTGTTCCACCATGATGGTAGATGGTCTATAGAGTTTAAATGAAAGCAGTAACCACTAAGTCACATGCACAGTAATCCAGTTGCCATTTCATAAATGTAATTTAGTCAACTTGTTTTTTTTAGTTTTATTTCCTCTCTTTTCCCGACAGCCTCCCCATGGACTTTAAGACTACCCTTCAGCTCTCAGATTCCACACTGAACATGCATGTTCTTATTCCCTCTCTGTGGCAATTTAATTGCTTTATCCAACTATCAGCCTTCAGCTGGCTGCCCTGACCCTTATGCCCTCTTTTGCCTGTGGGTGGTAAATCCTTAGACACAAAATTCAATAATTAAATATATATATATGTGTAGTTATCCCCGCCCATATCACGTCTCACAATGCATGCTCGCAGCTCACTTCCACACATGTGCTGTGTTCACTTTTCCTGTCGAGCAAGGATGATCTATTTATCCAAAATGGAAAATGAGCTAGAATGAATGATAATAAATACCTTAACATCTACACTGTTGGCTCGTTTTAGTCAACTGGAGTTGACTTTCATTAAAGTGGCATGCGATGGATTTCTTTTTCACACCAATTTGCACATTTTAATTGCAAATGTTTATATCATTCTCATAATCATTTGCAACTTCCAGGGGAAATGAATGCATTATTTTTAATTTAATCAAAAGACGTCATATAATCTTTGACATCTTAGACCACATTATGTCTACTTGTCTATGCAAAATATCTATATTTATCAGGCTGTCTCTTTTTCTATCTCTTCAGCAGTAACATTTTTCAGCAAACAAATGCAGTTTTATTTTCACCCTTTGCCAAGACGAATCCGGGATCAGTATGGAACATATTTAATATACTATATGTTTCAGGTGTGTGTGGAGTCTGTAGTTAGAAAGAATATATATACAAGTTATACCCCACAGTGACAGCCGACAGCCACTGTGGCCAGCAGACAAAAATAAATCCACAGAAGCTCAAAACTTCATCAACAGGAAATCCAAGTAGGAGCCATCACTGTGCCCTATGCATACTGTTTGATTGACAGGGGATCTTCAGGGAGTGTAGCAGAGCCACACCAGGTGGTGAGAGTTTAGCACCAAAAACAAAACAATAATGATATCTAACCATACTATCAAATTATGAATCTGTTCAGAGGGTTTTCCATTTTTCACTATTTTTTTTTTTTATCATGCTGCTTATTGTCTTCTTCACTGCCTGCATGTGTGCCTGTCTTTGTGAAATGAGCTGCCACCCCATGTTTTATTGATTTGGCCATGGGGGGTTTTGAGGATGGAGTCAAGGAGAGCTAGACACCAGACGATGGCAATAAATCTGTATGGAACCATAAACGTGTGCGTGGCAACGGGCTGAAGCAGACAAAGGATCAGGTGTGTCCTACTGCCCTGAATGCCTCAGCCCACCACGCACACGCACGCGCACACACGCATGGAAGGTGATACGGTTCTACATCATTAGGCTGCAGCAGAGTAAGATGAAGTAAATGGACATTCAATAAAAATCATGCATTTAACACCAATGCATCCATTTTTTTCAGCATTTAACAAAAAAATTCAACGGCAGCAAAAATCAAGCATTTAGACCATCCTTTCACATCTGAGTGAAATAAGCCCTAAAGACATACATTACTGTCTGTGCTTTGTCGAGCATGAATCATGTCATCAGCTGCATTACTATCTGCTCAATCGAAACTAGGCCAGCTTCATGAATGCCTCAAAAGCAATGTCTTGAGCCGATCAACTCATAATTAGTGTATGTGTGGCATCCTACATGCTAAGCCAATCCACGCATACACACAAGGCCACACAGAGGCTTCTTGTGTGTGTGTGTGTGTGTGTGTGTGTTTGAAGCGTGTGTGTGTGTGAAGCAGAGGTGAGACACAGAGCGATCCAGGGCAGAGGGAGAATTTTTCAGGCCTAATGTTCCATGACAGTGGACCAAGGTTCCGTCAAGGGGAATCAGAGCTATTGCCGCCTAACGCCTGAAACACAGACACACGTGCACACACAAATCCCCCCCCCCCCCACACACACACACACACACACACTCCCTCCTCCTTTGTCTTATCTCCTCTCTTCCCACCATTCTCTTCCCTCGTCTTATTTGCTTTTCACCTACTTTTCCGTCCCCTATTAATTGTCCTCCTGTCCTCTTACCTGAAGTTTAATTATGAAGTTGTTAATCCCAGTTGCAGCCTGAATGGGCTTCACAGCAACCACATTTAAGAAAAAAAAAAAAAAAAAAAAAAGCGGGTGAAAACAACAGCTCCTAACCTTTACGCCCTTCGAGGACGAACATAGATCATGATATCTCCTCTCTTTTGTCCTCGACTGTCTCTCTGTCGTATGCATGTGTAGAGCTCTGCTTATCGGCAGTCCAATATCCCATCATCATTTCATCCTCTATTGCATCTGTCTATTTGTATCCGTCAGGGTGCAACAGCAAAATCAGGAAGAAAATGATGCCGTGATAAGTCGGTAATTGGTCGGCTTGGGGGTGCAGCCATGGCGACAGAGGTTGATGATGTATTCTCCCCGTGTTAACATTCCGAGTGTGTCACCCCGCTGTCTACCTGCCCCACTTAGATCAACAGAGTGTATGTCTGTGTGGGAGGAAGAGAGATTATGTCTGTTTCAGTGCTTGTTTGTATACGTTTCACATATGCGGCCGGGTGGGTACAATATTGTGCAGCAGATGCCCGTGATTCTTAAGCAGGTGATGTTCACTGAATTGAAGACTATGAATAAGAAGGGAAGCTCCGCAATAGGAAAACAAATAATAATCTTTTTTTTGATTAAGATAAAAAAAAAACAGAGGAAGAGAGGAGGGTGGCAGGGGTTGGACAAAAGAAATAACCCCCCGAGGGAAATGAGAAGAAATCCGACTTTAGAAGGAACAAAGAAGAAATACAAATGTGACAGCCGAATGCTTCTTTAATTTCATCTCTGCAGCTACAGCGGTATCTCTGACGTGAAACCTCAAAACAACCACAACCACCCAGGGAAAATGTCGATGCTGACCTCCTTTTTTTTTTTTTTTTTTTTCCAAAAGAACTAACCATGTTGTCCTGCTTTTTCTCTCCCCCACCTTTTTTTTTCTTTACCTCTCTCCCCATGGCCTGCTTCCCTTTCCTATTTGTACGTCTTCTCTTATCATCTCATCTCATCTTTATCCAACCCAAAACATCCCATGGCATCCGCCCCCCTCCCCTCATCTTTCAGTCTGCAAAGTGGGGTTTTACCGCTCGCTGCTGGAGTCCTTGGCCTGCAGTAAATGTCCACCCCACAGTGTGGCCAGGCAGACGGGAGCCACTGCTTGCAGTTGTGAGGACGGATACTATAAGATCGACTCCGACCCTCCCAATATGGCCTGCACACGTGAGGACTTATATTTGCACATGCATTTTACAACTGATGTTCACAGTTTTTGTACTTTTATTCTTGGATACCATGTTGCTGTAGTGACCTCTTTCCATCTCTCTCAGGCCCTCCGTCTGCTCCACGTAACGCCATCTCCAATGTCAACGAGACCAGCGTCTTCCTGGAGTGGTCCGTTCCGATGGAAACCGGTGGCAGGAAGGATGTGCACTACAATATCCTGTGCAGACAGGTATTGCCAGATGGAAGGGGCTTGGAAGAATGCGGCCCCAACGTACGTTTTCTGCCACGCCGCGTCAGCCTGTCAAACACCTCGGTCATGGTGGCCGACCTGCAGTCACACACCAACTACAGCTTCCTGCTGGAGGCTGTCAACGGGGTGTCAGAGCTGGCCAAAGAGCACGCCAAGCAGTATGTGTCACTTAATGTGACAACCAATCAGGCAGGTATGTTGCGCCGGATCTGTCACAACTGTCAATACTTTGTTTTGCCAATCACAGCCTCCCCATGACTTCTCCAATCAGCACCACAGCTGTCCTGTTTTTGTTTGTTTTTTCCCCAATATTCAAGCTTATTCTGAATTTCCCAACACAAATCATCACCATTTTGTCTTTTTCTTTGTACCTCATTATTGAGACTTCCACACACCAACCTGCAAGTTGGATTTCTGGTGCAAATATCTTAGTTTGGCAACAAAGACACCAGATGATCAAATTATCACTATCATTATTTTTCCAACAAATCTGTCGCTGTGTTAATTGTGTCTCATGCGCCATCCTTGCAGTGAATGAGGGAACATTGCACAGTGGAAAGCTATTTTTTTTTGTTTTCGCATTCAGATTTGTCATTGAAAAAGCAGCTTGGTCCCCTCAATTAGGCAGCGCATTCCATCAACAATCTTTGCAGGAATCGGGGGCACAGTGAAAGCTCTTGATTTGCAGGCTGTTTGTGTATGGGGTGTCTTGTGTGGTATAGCAGGTGTTTTTTTTTTTTTTCTGCCTGCCTATCAAATATGATGAATCAGGCAGATGATAGGCAAGTTTGCATGTTGTTTTTATGCTGGGAAGTACTTTTATTCATCAACTCTAAGCAAAAAAAAAAAGAAACCTTTAGCTGGTATAATGTTTTGCACTTGCAGCTGCTGGGAATATTTCCTTTTCTGCCATGCCAGAGCAGCTTAGAAGTTCTGTGTGACTGTAAAGCATGCTTGAGCAAGGCACTAAACCAATAACACTAAAGTGAGCAGCACAGTGGCCAAACATAAAAGACCACTCTAACATTAGACAATGAAAGAGTCCAACTACTCCCCATAGCTGTAAATAGTGAAAGCTTTGCTGGCTTTCCTTTTAAATGGAGATTAAAATTCATATGGGCTTTGGGAGAGCATTTTTTTTATGTTTACGGGTGGTATGGGCCTGTGTAGTTTATTTGATTTGCTTGTAATGAAATGGGCAGCACATGGCGTAATGAAATGAGAAAAATATGAGACTAATGCTCTCCTTCCCAGGGCTTCCATCTGTAGGGAAGGCTGGAGAAAACAGCCATTTTGAAGGAGTGTTTGTTCCCGTTTGTTGAACAAATGGTTCATTGGCAGACTATTAACTGTAGGAAGTAGTCGCAGCAGCAGCGAGAATGAGAGAGGGCAGATGGTTGTCTGACAGTGAAGAGTACCGACGGCCCTCTAACTGTGTTGTCATTGTGCCCGTCTGCAGACTGAGTGGATTACACCAGACTACAGAATCCACATTCAGTTCATTGGAGTTGCGACTCGATTAAAGTTAGCAGTCACTGGACCATGCAGAGATTAGGATTTACATTCGATTAGATTACACATGGTTGGCTGAGTCACAGACAGATCTGCTCTTTTGCATGGATGAGGCACAGGCTAGGCTAGAGAGTGTTTTTATTTCTGTCGATGTTAGATAAATATACTCGCTTTAATTTGGGAATACAATAGAAGCAGTCACTAGCACCGCTGAGTTTGTGCAGCGATCAACAGAATAACATTAATTAACGGACATGTTGTGGTTGAAAGGTTATTGTGTGCTGCGCCACGGACCACGTCCAGCATTATTGACAGTTGTTGCCAGAAGTTTTATTGCACCTAATTAAACCACACCCAGCCGGGATGTCAAGGTGTACAAAACCCTCCAATGTGAACTCATCTGTACTCATCATATTTTGCCTCACGGGCAGAAGCCCCAGGCGTGGCAGCCTTTTCTGTAGTATCTTGATGCGTGTGGTTAACCTGGTGTGTTTAGGCAACAAAACCACTGAATAAGGGTAGGAAGAAACATCATGGTTTGGCTTAGAATAAGATCGTTTGTAACGGAAGCGATGGATGCAACTTTATGAGACTCTGTGGCGTTCTTTCAAATATAATGGGCGAATATGGCGCTAGGCTTGTGGTGCTATGTCTCAATGCAATGTCTCTTTCCAGAAATCATGACCCGGTTAGTCGACATAATCCACAGACCTTGTTATGAGCAGTTTTATGTAGGAACTGTGGTAATAGGTGATGATTTCTTGAGAGAGGCATTGCTGTTGAGTTTTTTTAAATACATTTTTTTACATTTCTTCAAGCACTTTAAGCCGAGTGCCATACAGTACCATTATACCATTTGATCGGCATTGTAAACATCTGTGTTTTTTGACTGAGCTTCTGCTCGGGAGGGTAAAAAGGCACAAACGAGATACCAAGACCGAAGTACTGAGAAACAGGGGCCGACGGGTAGTCTCAGGTAGACGGAGACGGAGAGAAGGAGTCAGAGGATCTGCCTTTTGATGTGTGGGAAGTGTCACCCTCGATAAGGGATCCGTGAAATAGGTGACTTCACAGTGTTCCTGTGAAGACCTGCTGAATATTAAAGTGTCGGTACTCGTGAGGAGGAGAGGTGAAAGGCAGGAGGGAAGGACAGAAGACCAGGACGGAGGTAGAGGAAGAAGCTGTGGAACTGATGGGGGAGGTTTGTGATGAGGAAAGAAAAGGTGAGATTGTACACATTATGAAAACACTGATGCAGCTTCATTAAAAAGAGAAGATGGAAGTCCGATATTTTGCACTGCTTTGATAGTTGTGATAAGGTAGCTAACTATCAACCAGTATTAAGTTGTAGGAATTAACTTACAAAAAGAAAAAAAAATGTCATTCATGAATCCAAACCATGAGAACAAATAATCTAATTGACCATAAATCGTCAATAATCACAGACAATTCAGTCTTTTATCGGCCGATAAGCTTGATGATCATATGATGGGTTCCTGCGGTAGCTCAGCTCTATTATGTCTTTCCTCGTGCCCAGTTTTTCATGTTGCTCACAGTGTGGGAGCACTGCGTGGTAGCTGCACACTAAATGCTCCCATACATTGTTTGTGCTGTTGTTGGCAATTCATCAAATGAATCGTGATGCATTACTTTGTGGGCAGTGAAAATAAGAGCACAGCCATGGTGCTCTGCCCATGTGTCTTACTTTTGCTTTTAGTCATGTATAATAGATATAAAAGTAGTGGGGCAGCGAGGTTGTTTGCACTGAAACTGAAAAACTGCTAATTTGTGAGTATTTTAGCTCTATTTCTTTTTAATGTATTTAGAGGCAGATGTCCCAAAAGGACATTCGGAGACTCCAAATGTACACGTGGTAACCAAATGGAGTCTCCGAATGTCCTTTTGGGACATCTGCCTCTAGAGTCACACTTCAATTTGAGTGTGAAAGTGTTGGTACTTTCACAAGAAACTTTAATAAGCAGTGTATTGTCAGATCTTTGCTTTACCTGCTGTATGTTTGGCTCAGGAGCTGGAGCCATTTTAATTTAGGTATGTCATTTTCAGTATTTCTTTCTCCCAAGCAGGAAGTGGGAGACGTCTTCAAAGACGGATGACACATTTGGTAGATCAGAGCAGAGGAGATAGGCTATAGGAGAGGGTAGGAAAGAAGCGGGCCAGGGTTCACATCGTCCATATTGTTTCTTATAACTTTTCACTTCATAAGAAGATTGCTTGCCATCTGGTTGAGTTTGTACATTCAGTATTCTTTTAAACGTATTTTCCTATGAATTATTCCCGACAGGAAAAACAGGAGGAGAGATGGGGAATGACATACGGCAAAGGTCTGGGGACGTTGCAGTTTATGGTCAGACCAAGAAGGCGCCCTGTACTTCCAGTAGTCTTCCCGTTATGACTTTTATGAATTCCTGATTGACTGAAATACACCGGTTGCAACCGATAAGATTCCAATATGTTGCGTGACGGATCAGTTTCTAGGCTGCCAAATGACTGTCGCTGTTGCAATTGTATGAATAAAAACATGAGGGCGGGATGAGATAGAGCAGGTAGACGGGTGTTTAAGTTACAAATAAAAAAATAAAAGATGAGAGCAGCTCCGGTGCTTTACAGCCTTAATAAAGCCATCTCTCTCTCTTTGTCTCCCATATCTCTTTCATTCTGTCTCTCTCTTTCTGTCAGTCTCTGAGGGTATAGTTAAAGGATAATAAACCAGGTAGTTGAAGGTCTGTATTGATTTCAGTGATGCAGACAGATAGCGGTCTGAGAGGCTTATGTTCTGCACGGTGATAACATTGCTCTTATCTGAGGCCAGAGTTGTTACACTGGAGGGCTGCACTCGTCCGCTGAATAGCTTTCTCGACCTGTCCCCCACATGAAATGGAAGCTTCGGCTCGATTGGAAAAACAGAAAATATTATCACAGACGTTTAAAATTAGTTTGTGGTGTTCGATACCAAACTGTAGGTGCTCATTAGTAGATGTAACAGGCACTGGAAGTGTTCGAACCAGCGAGTGCGATTCCTCTGTCTTCCTTGCTGCTAAAATGAAAGTGTTGCTGGGGCCCTGTCTACACGCTTTCACCACGTCTCTATCTCTATGTCTCATCTCTCACTTTCTTCCCATTTTTGTCAACCCTCTTGCTTTTCTTCCTCCGTCTCTTCCAGCACCTCCCACCCTCTCTCTGCACGGGAGTTTCTCAAATCCGTCGGGTTTTAAAACACTTGTTAGTTTAGTCTCAGTCGCTGAGTTGTGGCACTAAAAGGTGTCTCATTGTGTAGCTCCTGTTGACTAAGATTCTGCCTTTGGGTGTTAAATATGGACGTTGCGCGTCTGTGCTGTTTTGGTATTTGGTGAAAAGGAAAGGTTAGGGCTGAGAAGGAATAGATACAAATTATATGATGATTAGATCCGTTAGTATATAAACAGAATTACTTATGCGTTAGTTACGCAGAAGACTTTCCTCAACTAACTTTCCTCAATTAGCTGAAAATTCAGCCATTTAAATAACAAATGCAGCATTTCAGTTATTTTTCAAGAAAAAAATCCCCACAGCTGCGGATCCCAGCTCTTAAAATATTGTAGTATTTGCCTATATTTTTTGGGGGGAGGGGGAAACATTTGACAGATTTATCAATTATATAAGAAAAAAACATATTTGCAGCAGCCATAATTAAAATGTATACATATTTTAAGAATGGCACATCAACTTTATTCTTATAACCCCAAATCAGAAGTTTGTACAACAGGGCTCTGCAATCTGCACACGACCCTCTATTCTCTATAAATATAACATGGCAATCGGCATCCTTTTTCGTTGGATTTCAACTTATTTTTTCATGTATTGTTACCCGCTAAGCTGCTGGGAAAAGAAGCCCTCTCTCTCTCATCATCACATCCCGGCATTTATAGCGTTTAAGCATTGAGTGTGTGTGATTGGCTCTCTGGTTTCAGGCTTTTAAGATGTTGCAGATAACACTTCTGTGCGACCATCCGCTCAGGATACAGTTACTGTGTTGGTAGCAATGATTTATTCCCTGTGGAGTTCTGCTGAGGCCAATGAAACCAAAACGCTGTTTAGCATTTGCAGGAGAAGCACACACACACTATCAGGATGTTGCCTGAGGGAGCATTTTGCCTGGTGAAAAGCTCTTTATGTGTCAGAGACTCTCCAACTGTCCCTCTGAGAGATGGGCCAACAGTTCATGTTACAACAGGATGGTTCCACAATTGATGTGAACGCACACAACTGAGCTCACTTGACATCAGAACTTAAAGGATAAATTACCCAAAAAATCTTATAATGGAAATTTAAACTTCGCAAAGAGCTTAAAACAAACCGTTTTTTTCCCTGTAATCAAACATGGTACACTACAAGCTGTGTGCCAGATGTGTGGTGTCATAGTTGGCTTCATGGGCTCCTCTGCCAGCAGCTACTGAATAGCAAGATATAAAGGGATAGTTTAATTAGGCACAGGTGGAGCTTTTTTGCCAGATTGCAGACATTTTGTTTTTTTTCAGAGGCAGGGCTGCTTTGGTACCAGAAATAATCTCAGTAGTTCAGATAAAGCTCAATGGACTGTGCCAAATAACCTCAGAAGAACTTTGGTAACTAACAAACTTGAATTCATGAGAAGAAACTCTCATGAGAAATAAAAATCACCCAGCATGACAGAAATAACACGGCAGCAAAGGCCGATGTATCGCAGTCTGATTATAGTGAACCCCCTTCTTTTCACCACCATGTTTGAAATCATTTTTGGTCTTTTTTTTTTTTAATGATTTTGTTCTTTGATGTTTCGTCTTCGGTTTAATATTTCATAACGTACAACAGTCCCAGCAAGCATTACAACTAGCTCTGTGCATGTAAACATCAAAGCATGAGGTGTCTTCAGAAAAGGGATGTCTTATAGAAGCTGATGGTACCCAACCGGTTTTACAACGTTGGCACCGTTTCCCTTGTGTTTATTAGGATGTTATGTGAGTCGGGATAATACTGTAATTAAAAATAACAATGCACTGGCATGCTTCATGTTAAACTGCTTGATGTTCACTAATGTTCCTGAAATTGTATTATGTCTTTTTATCTTTGTGTGTGTGCAGCACCGTCCCCAGTGAGTGTGGTGAGAAAAGGCATTACGGGGAAGAGCAGCATCTCCCTTTCTTGGGCAGAGCCTGATCGCCCAAACGGCATCATCCTGGAGTACGAGATCAAGTATTTTGAAAAGGTAAAAAGAATTTTGCCCATTTTACGAAGCTACGTGTCTCTGTCCGCCGAGTATTTTTCCAAAGATCACATTCTACAGAAGTTTACACAGAGGTATTGATTTTGCACGCACTGTTATGCATAAGTGTATTTTATTTTTTCTTTACGATTAGTGAAGAGCAGAGCTTCGTCTCGCTGCTTTGTACTGCCAAAATCAACACCACATTAAAGGACCTTGTAGTACCTTTGACTTTCAAATGAAGGCTATATTGCATCCGTTTGAGAATTCGCTGTAATGAGCACTGTCGGCAAATTAGTTTCGCCTCATAACATCCGCGTGCGCCATTTATTCAACGTGTTAAATTTGTGGAAACGTGTTGACAAAGACTGTTCAAATTGCCTTCAGAAATACAGCTGAATATGCATTTAATTTAGTCTTCAAAGTATCTTTAAAGTGGCCTCTAAAAAACCTTCGCCTCGAAAAGACTTTCATTTGACAGAGCTATAGCTGTGTGGGGGTTTTATTTCCTCTCTTTTTCAAAAGTTGGATTTGGGGAGAGGCAGGAATTCGATACTTCTATTCAGATCATTGTTCCTGTGCCCTTCCTCTTTTCTCTCTTTAGTCGTCTTTTCTGGGAAGGTCAGAATAAAGGTATACAGGAGAGCAGAGCAGGGTTTGTGGTCAGTGGTTAGCTAATGGCTTCTGGCTAATGGAGGGGGCATTTAGCTGTGTTTAAACCTGATGTGGTTACAGTTGGGAAGCTGATCCTTACACACATGCTTACACACACACACACACACTCGCACTCACACACGTTCTACAGGTAGCTTATAGGGATGCACCGATCTGTCTTTTTCAGTCCCCTTAAAACGATACCTGCGCTTTGGGTATCGGCTGACACCGAGTACTGATCGGATACCAGTGTTTGATTAATGTGCTGTATGCCTCACCGTGTGGAGGTGACTGAGATCATTCTTTTATGTTTAAGGGCACATCAGGCTCGACTGAAACATTGCTTTCCTATCTTTATAAATGTAACAAATATAGATAATATGTATAGATAAACTAAAAAATAATGAATCGTACACCAGCAGCCTGGTAAAAAAATCAAATTTAATTGTAAACCTTTTTAAAACCGACACATTGGTTAAATCTTTAAATAGGAAATCGAAGAATATAGAATATAGTTCAATAGATGGACCACGTTGTCCCCTATATCCAATCCAGCTATCTGAATCACTTTCTGCTTTTATATCTAATATCGGTGCATCCCCCAGTAGCTTAGCCATACAAATGTGCTAAAGAATAGGGGAAATGTGCAGGCGAGAAGACGCAAATGTGCAATATCTGCAGCAACAAATAATCATCAAGGCTACAAAAAATGTATGTAATGCAAGTTGATTAATTACAACTCCTCCGTTTCTCACACAGGAACAGGACTCCAGCTACACGATTATAAAATCCAAGGAGACTGAGATGGTGGTGGAAGGCCTGAAGCCCTCTTCAGTCTACATCTTCCAGGTCAAACATGGGTTAAAAAAACAAATAAATTAAAGGGATTGATGAATAATAATGTGAGGACAAAAATCACTGTAGTCTGAGATGAGAAGAGGTGAATTAGCAATTAGATAGAAGTTGTTGTGTCAAATGTGTAATACATTTTAATATATGTAAAAATTAATATGCTGTGCTTTTTACTGTAGATGTGATATATTTGCATATGCTGCATTACAGGTGCGAGCCAGGACCTCAGCAGGCTATGGCGCATTTAGCCGACGTTTTGAATTCCAGACCAGCCCTTACTGTGAGTACACCAGAGAGAGGGAGAGCATGAGCATACAAATTCAACTTGTACGAGACTACCACTACCTTTGTTTGTGTACTATTTGTGTCTAATCCCACCTCTTTTCCTCTGGCAGTAACCGCGACCAGTGAGCGTGCTCAAGCTTCGATAGTAGCGGTGGCCATCACGTTGGCTCTGGTCCTACTGGCGGTAGTCGCTGGATTCCTGCTCAGTGGACGGTAAGTCCTAAATACACACCTGAAGGAACACAGACACACTCATGATATGGTGTCCACTCATCTCAAGATTGTCGGTTCGGTGCTGCGAGAGTGTGTGTGTGTGAATGAGCGTTTGGATTGGACCTTGATGAGCACGTTGGCATCGGGCCTCTGTTGTCACTGTATGAATATGTGTGGGAACGGGTGAATGTTGACATGTAATGTCAAAGTGCGTCGAGTGGTCGTGAGGCTAGAAAGGTGCTATATAAATGCAAGTCCATTTACCACATTTAAATGCTATCAACTGTGCTGACCTAAATGTCTGTAGTGACACCCCTCATCCTCTCATCTTTGGAGCAAGCGGCATTATTAGATAAGACTAAACGTTGCTCACTTCAGGGAAATAATGGCGAATACATTTAACAAGCAAAGGACAATGTGACGTAATTTATTCATTCTGATGAAAGAGGCTGCTCTGCGTGAAACCTCTATATACAGTGATTATCATTTTTGTACAGGCACAGCAGTCATGAACATTTCTCATTGTTAGCTTAGTCAGAGGTTATCCACTTGTCCTCCTCGGTCCTATTGCTGACTAACAAAATAAATGAGCAATACCAAAACTAATTTGTGACCCAGATATGTCTGTGTTGCAGAAGCAGCATTATGGGATTAGATACATGGCTTGAGGTTAGAGATTTGTAATAGGTCAGGAGGATTAAGGGTTTTAGGTTCGAGCTTCGGCGATGATGCATACAAGCCAGTGGAATCTTCTCAATGTCTGGTGTCACAACTTTGCTCTGTTTTACATCAGCGTTTAGCACTCTGTACATTGCACACTGCATTCATGTTGTATCTGCAACCCTCCGGTCTCATATGACCTTCACTTTATGGGGTCTTGTAATTGGTACAACCAATTTTCTGATTTCCTTTTCACATATGCACACACACACACAAGATACATGAATGCAAATACTGTGTATAGCAAGGGAAGCTTTCAAACACATGTAAACGCATGTAATCCCTGGCCTGCGTAAATGTATGCAGTGTTGAGAAGACATTCAGCCTATTGTTCTCATATGATCTTACGTCCATAAATGTTTTATTTGTCTGCAAATGTTCATTGAACTCTTCGACATTTTTTTTTTTTTTTTTTACCCGATTCCATCTTCGTAAACCTTATTTTACTGTGACATGTATCTATTTAAGTTAATTAACAACTATTATGCGCAAATGCCATTACTGAACCATAATTAATACAGCTGAGTGCAGTTCTACGAAGCTCAGAGTCTGAATTCATGTAGTTATTGGACAGAAAGATCAGACGGATAGACAGTGGGGGCTCTGGCAATGTTCAAGGATTAAAGAGCAAATCGGAAGGAAACGGTGGTGATTTTGTTTTTTGGGATGAGGATCGCTCTAGATTTGTGTGGGGGAGGAGAGATGGAGGAATGCCAAATTTCCCAGCGATGGATTTGGAACACAAGCGCCACAAACCCGCCTCCAACCCGCCTCCAACCACTGTACCCCCCCCCCCCTCCCCGCCTGCGTGACCCTCCAGACTACACCCACATGCATAGACACAGCACACATGTGTAGACACTCGGACATAACACGCGGATGCATGTACTGTACGCGTGGGTTAACACACGGATGCACACATGTAGGCAGTTGGAGAGCCGGCTGGGCATGAGCGTGCTCAAACCCCTTGACTCAACAGATCCAGCAAACCAAGCCGCCTCGGGCAGACACACATGTAGCACACACACACACACACACACACACACACACACACACACACAGACAGACTCCCCTCCCCCAGACTGTCCAGCTGCGCATACTGAACCCCTCCAGTCAAGCCTGGCAGTCCTATGGACATGACCCTTGTGTGTTGTGAGCTTTTTGTCTTCAAACTCCAGAAAACTCGGGCATCTAAAACATTCAGTTGAGCTTTGGTTTTACAAATACAATAAAGTGAATCAATGCATTTTCCTCTCATAATATACCATTTTAAATGTGTGTCTCTGTGTCCGTTTGGTCACTGTCATATGTTTGTGTGTACGATCACGTTTATCAATCCTCCTGTCCTGTATAATCTGGGTCATCTCTGATTATCTGTGATGCTGCTTGTCCAAATATTGAAACGCGGAAGCTTTGAGGGCAGACACAGATGCACATCGGCACAACAAACAACTTAATACCGGTTTTGGCCTATACATCAGGGGATACGCAGACGCAAGAGAGAAGGATATGATATGGATGCAGACAAAAGGCCGTGACTGAAGGAATTTCTCTTCTATTCCCTTCTTCTTTCGGGCAACTTGATAAAAAAATCTTTATTTTATACGTAGCCTTTATCGGAAAAAAGCTCAAGACCGCTCTCGCTCCTCTGCCAAAAGTCAGAGTTGATCTGTTGACGAGGGCTTTCTTTGAAAATGGTATTATTTGAAAACTGCAGTCCTTTGCTAATGTCTAAAAGGCTGGAAGTTTTCAGCAATACTTTTTGTAAAACCTTGAAACGTAAGTGAGCAGAACCTTGGAGGAAATAAAAAGCTTATCTTGCAGTTGGATCCAAGTGTGATCGTTGCCTTGTGTTGGCCAGGATTAGCTTTTTATGTGTCTGGGACATTTTATGGTATCTTCACTGGGATCTCTGTCTGGTACCCTTTTCTTCTCTCTGAGTGTAAATGCCACTGTTTGCTTTCTGTTTAGATAGACAGTAGATAAAATGTATAAGGGCGTATTTTTATGCTATACTATAAATTGAAAATGCATGTACTGTGTGACTGAAACTGAAGTGTTGTCATTGTTTTGTCAACCCCCTGTAGGTCATCAGTATGAACCATTAATACAAATATATGATAAGGTTTTCTGCCTTGAAACAGCAACATTTCATGCCGTGACATGTGCACATATCAAAACTGTGGCATGACATCGACTGATGTGTTTGTGTGTCCTCCCTCTCAGGCGGTGTGGCTACAGTAAAGCAAAGCAGGATCCCGAAGAGGAGAAGATGCACTTCCACAACGGCCACAGTAAGTTAACAAAGCCCAAACTCACTCTGTGTGTGTCAGTTCATCCACAGTTTCCACTACATGTACAGTAGAGGGTTCAGACTGCGGTCATGTCTGTATGAGTTTGTTCATCCCCGTAGCCGTGTGTGTGTGTGTGTGTGTGTGTGTGTGTGTGCGTGTGTGTGTACAGTTGACATTGTTTTGTACTAGGAGCTATTCTTTAAATGACACGGCTACAGACCGGCTCGATGGCAGCCGTGTTGGCAGAGGACACACTAAAGCTATGATGATTTATAGGCCATGACAGCTTAATATAGTTGGCCACATTTTTGGCGTCGCATCCGGCCATCCATCTGCTGGCATCAGAGCCGACCATGACGGGGTCATCAGCGCCGGAGAGCTCAGGAAGAAATACCAGTGTGCCATCACGGTTACATTGATTCATACTTCAAATGAATTTGAATTACTTATCATGCCGACAAAAAGCAACTTAAAGTGATGAATCATTATATTTTGTTCTTTATATGCTTTTTACTTAGTTTTCGTCAGTAGATTGAGTCGGAGTAAACTTTTTTTTTTTCTATAAAAAGGTAGAATAATCATAAGGGAGTGTACTAAATCACAGCCATAACAATATTAAAAGGAATAAATGATGTTCATTAGGGGTATGGAATATAGATTCAATTTAATATCACAGTATACACTTTTACGATAATGCAAACCATTTTGTAGACATCTAGAAACTGACAAATCAATATACTACTCAGCATTGTCTAAAAACATCTTGTCGTCAATATTGCTGTAAAGTTATCCTGCTCCTTGATTTGCAATATTGCCTGCGATAGCCTTATTACATTTTACATTATGCATGCATGCATTCTGGAGACAAGCCTGAATAAATGTTGGCGATGGTAAACGACATCTAAATGGTAATGATGGCGTGCATGTGTGTCTGCAGTAAAGTTCCCGGGGGTGCGCACCTACATTGACCCCCTCACCTATGAGGATCCCAACCAGGCCGTGCATGAATTTGCCCAAGAGATTGATGTCTCGTTCATCTCCATAGAGAGGATCATCGGAGCTGGTGAGTCAACTCTGCGTGTGTGTGTGTGTGTGTGTGTGTGTGTGTCTGTGTCTGTTTTATACTATTCTTATTCCGAGCGACAGTTTGGGGCTGATTTTGCCACAATAATGTCTCACAGAATACATTATGGTTCATTTTGAAGTGAACCTGTTCAGTCAAGCGTTCTAAGGTAAAAATACTATCATCTTGTAACAGCTGAATTTAAACAATGCTGTATTCATAGACTGTATAGTTCAGCATTTTGGCCATCTCCATCTTGGTTTTTGGCAGTCGCTGATTCCTTCTTTTTTAACCAGAAGTGTTACAAGAAGGTAGAGCTAAGAACAACTGAACACTGAATAAGACATTTGGAGCCGACCAAAATGTTAACTTCTATACAACCAAACTTATATTTGTAACCAGAGGAGTTGCCCCGTGATGGCCATTAGAAAGAATCCATTTAAAAATGGATCTGCATCGGCTTTTCAGACCCGGAGATAGTATTAAAACGCACTCAATGTACAGTAATAACCATGATGATTCTGTCATGTTGCATAAAATGTAACCATTTCATTAACTCTTGGGCGAAAATGTTTTCTTCAACCTGCATAAACCTGTCACATTCATCATTGCACGCCGTTGTATAGAAGCACACTGACACGCATACTCAATTAAGCCAAACACTGCCAGGGAATGACGGCTTGCGTGGCTATAAATGGTGTTTGTGTCCCGCTGACAAACATGTCTATTTGCAACATGTGTGAACCTCGCGTTCTAGCTGTGCAGCAGCTTAACTTCAGTTCAACACTTCTTTTGGATTCTATGTATCTATCTGTTGCGATATTGGAAACTGAGTCGAGTGATGCTTGCTATGAAAGGTTTGCTTCATCATTGGACAAGACTTTTGCAGATCGAGGTGGGCTGAAATGTTACGGCCACAGTTCAGCTCTGTCTCTTTGCCACAGGGGAATTTGGCGAGGTGTGCAGCGGACCGCTGAGGCTGCCCGGGAAAAGAGAGATCCAGGTTGCCATCAAGACCTTGAAAGCAGGCTACACCGAGCAGCAGAGACGCGACTTCCTGTGGGAGGCGTCGATCATGGGCCAGTTCAACCATCCAAATATCATCCGTCTGGAGGGCGTGGTCACCAAGAGTGGGTCATCACCATGTCTGTTTCTAGTCAGACTTTGCACTCTTCGTCATTTTTTTTTTTGGTTGTGAGCCCGAGAATGGCCCTGCAGGATTTAGAACAAATGTCACAATGCAGATTACTGCGGCTTCTCATGTGACAGTTGTACTGTGTAGATGTTTGGGAATCTCAAGCTAAACTCGTCAGACGCTGCCCTGATTTCTTCAGTCTATAAGCTGTACTTGGTCAGGGTTTTTCATCCGTCAGACCCAGCTGTTCTTTATCAGTCAGGTTTGGATGTGCTTCGACAGCTCCAACTGTGCTTTACCAAGCTCAGTTGTGCTTCCAGTTGTACTTCTGAAATTACCTTTTCTCTGACATAATATTCATGCATTTATATCATGAATACAGTAATAACAAATTGAAATGTAATACATTTCAGAAAGCTCCACAATTCCCATTCTGAATAGCTGAATCAACTGAAAGAACACAAACAAATATGTGCTATTACTTTCCTCCTGAAGTTATTTTCTCATATCTTGCTTCGCAGGCAAGCCGGTGATGATCATCACTGAATACATGGAGAATGGATCACTGGACACTTTCCTCAAGGTAGGACAGAGGGGGACAGGGATCGTTAAGAGAATGGAATC